CAGTTACCTTCATCTTTTATCACCTCAACGACTGCTGTCCCGCGTTATGTTTTTTTCAGCTGAAACAACGAGCTCTGAGTACGTCGTGATCACGTGAAGCGTAATCCGTGTCGTACAGCTTGTTAAATCCAAACCATTTTCCGGTTTATTTTTTTTTATATTTTTATTTTTTTTTACTTTACACGCGGTGTTTGGTGTTTGCCGTCACTGGCGGGAACTCTTTAGTAACCTCGCACGAACGATCAAAATCAAAACCGAGGCGGGCGGCAGTCCAAGCATATGAAATTCTCGAACGTTGCTAAGTGCACCGCGGTCAACTTGAAGCGCCGATCATCGGTCAGCCTTTAGCAGTCCAAAAATTTAGTAGACAGATCGGTATCATGCTCCATCGAGCAATACAATGTCAATCGCGAAAAAGCAATGGACGCTTTTGCGCCACTGAGACAGAACGACCATCGGTGTGCGACACAACTGTCCCCTCTGATAGGCCAAGCTGGTTAAAGAGAGACCAATGATTGGAACTTCCGGCGCAGACGTGGGAAGAATACACCTTTCCAGCCCTCATCCTCCCCCTGCGGAAAAGTGCCGAGTCACTGGGCTGCGGGACAAACGCCCGGCGTCTGGTGTTCCGCAGAAGAGAGCGACCACGCACAATCCCGAAGCGTGCCGAGGGCAAGTAGACAAAGACGACAGAACGTAGAAGACGAATCTTGGAATGGTAGATTCTTGCAAAGCGCACGACGCTATAAAGAGCAGTTCTATCGTTCGTCCTTACAATAGGAAGCCAAAAAAAAAAGGGGGGGGGGGGGGGGGGGAAGGCGAGGTACGCGTCTATTTTAGCTTTAAACCGGGACCGATGCTGTCACGAAAAAAGCCACTGAATGATGACTCCGCGGACAACCATCAGCCAAGGAACTAATGCCGCGGGATTGGTTTTGTTGCCGATGCTGCGCATAGGGCGGAAACAAAATGGTCACAGAGTTGATCGATTCGCGAGCAGAGAGTTCTCTGGTATAATAAGATTTCCCTATTCCGGGAGTGCAGATTCTCCGGACAACCGCGCGAACCTGATCGTAGGCCTCTAGCAGAGGTGAACTAGCGAGTGGATGTGGATTAAAAATAAGCATGGCAATCTAACTCACCATCACCGTTTTAGGGTAATAATCTAATGCCTAAAAAATTCCTTATTATTATTTTTAATCAGTGTATCTTATACGATTGTGACAAGGCTCAGGAATTAAGGATGTCAATAACTATACCTGTAGAATGTATAGATTATTGATTTTGTAAAACAAATTCCTGTTTTATAAGTGTAGTTTGCTTCGGAAAAGGACAATATTTCCATCTTTCTTTTCATGACTTGGTGATTAAGTTTACGGTACTAATTCGAATGTGATAATGCAGTTTGTAGAACTTCTTCCGGGAGGAAACAGTGCGCATGTTTTCACAAATGTGCTCAAATTAGGAACAGAAACGCAGAGTCGGACCGGAGCACTAGGCCTGATTTTCGCCCCGGCGCGTCGACTGCTCAAGGGAGCGAGCTCTGTATTCGTAGCTCTGTCCTCGTGCATTTTATTCCCGCCTTTCTCCTCTTCACATTTCGTCCACCAGGCTACGCCAGGTTTGCCTCCTCTGGAGGCAAGAACCGGCGTCACCTCCTCAGGAGTTGTGATTTTTGGGTACTATTAAAAATTGCGCCTTTTTAACCATTTCGTATGAAAATGTGGGCATTCGTACGGTGTACCTAGTGTTTCTGCAAATACTTTCGAGAATCGCTACGATTAGGAAAATTGAGGTAAAAAAATCTTTTCGGGAACAAGCTGCCAGCCACGATGGATGTCCGGGATTGCAAAATAACACATTAATTAGAACAAGAATTACCGAAAACTTACTAGTCAACTTTTTAACAAATGAAAATAAACAGATGATTCCAATTGGAACCGAGCTCAGGGTCATCAAAATACCCTAAATTAGTTAATTTCAGGACGACGTGAAGCAATTACGAAGCGCGGGGGTGCTTTAATGTTACCACTCATGGTGCAAGCGGAAGGCTGGTGATGCGAAAACCCGGATGATAAGAATATCACCATTCTTTTTGCATCGCCAACGCAATCGTCTACTGCAGAAATAAAAAATAAGAACGAAAAAGAAAAACGTGAACAGTTGACGTGACGTCTAAGGCCCATCCACTCCGGTGAAAAAGAACGTGGTTTTGACATGTCTACAAAGAGGCTTCTTTCTCATCCAGCCCTTTGGCGGAAATAATTGTTAAATATAATTTGGAAAACCAAAAATACGAGAAAATTTGAATGGGCAGACTGACCAGCACGTTTCACGCCTATTTGAGGCTTTTTGTGGACGGAAAAAGATCCCGAATAGAATCCTTCGCTTAATTACACGTATACAAAAAACCTAGGACTATTTGGAATATTTCGGGTGTTTTCTAGGAGTACAGGTTCAACCACAATATCTTGTTCGTTACCGTTATACTTTAGGGTAGCTGGAAAGGAACAAATGATTCGCAGCTTAATGTTCTGTGAAATCCCAATGCCGCGGGCATTCACAACCCGATCGTTCGACAACATTGTTGGTCCTAATGTTCTTTTTTTTCTTCTTTTCTTTTGCGTGGTAAATATAATTTAGAAAAGAGGGAAACAAAATAGCGAAGTGACGGTGTTTTATTAACTAACAAAATTTTGTTGGGTCAGAAGAACAAAATGAAACGCGGGATACGTTTTTACGTTTCCGAAGCCAGGAGCACATGCTCAGAAAACAAGTTAATATTGCACGAAATTCGGAAAATGCAAACACAGTTCCCAGCTGATTTAAAAAATAAGGTAGTTTCTAAACACTTAATTTGATGATATATGGGTAATTTCGTTTCAAAAGCGCACAGGGAAAACGGGCCATGTCTCAAAAGCTTAACAATAAAAATATATAGATATAGGCTTTGAAAATTCTTTACTACGACAAAACTGGAAACCGTTTTTGCGTCTTGGTTCTCGAGTTTTTTTGGTTTTTTTTTTTTTTTTTTTCATTTCTGAAGAACCAAATGCGTATTTTGGTATATGAGCAATCGGCAGAGGTCGCGTATTTGAGATTTTCGCCAGAATCAGATACTTTCCGTTTAACAAAAAAAAAAAAAAAAAAAAAAGTTTTTACGTGTTTGTTTTTTAAACCACAGTAAAAGCGCATTGAAACAACAAATAGTAATCGTTACAAGGAATCTGAATAGAGCTTCGCGGATAGTGATGTGTTCTTATTAACACCCGACCCGCATCTGCGTGCCTTGCATCACCATCAGCATAATATTGGTGAACTTAACTCAATAAAATTTCAGCACTAAAATTGCAAAAGCAATTTGTTTTTATGTTATTAGTTTACTTTTCATCCCGTGCGTTTCTGCAAAAGAAGCCTCCACATAGTCACGCATATTGTGCCTGTTTTTCTCTCGCACCATCGTACAAAATAAAACATTGCTTCTTATAATGATTTATGTGAACACTGACCAAATATGGTATAAAGCTTCGCGTTTCTTGTTTTCTTTTTTTACTTCAAGTTTACTTTAAAATACATTCATTTTGTGGCTTTTTCGCTAGTCTAGGTTTAAATATTTGATTTGACTGCAATATTAGTTTCCAAAACTTAGACTAATTTTGTATTTCGATAAGAAGGGTTAGATATGAGCGGCTGATTAAACTTTATTTGGGATCGCATATAGTAACACTTAAAGGTAAGAATGAAAAATTCCCCGTAGCCGCTTACGAATGTTTAAAATAAATGTCGATCATTCATGACCGGTTAGAGCAAAGTATTACCAGTGTATGATTGTGCGTTTTACAAAAATATTACCAATCGCTCCAGCTGAATGGAGCTAGACAAAGACGTGCATCATGCTTGAAACTTTTATCAAGTTCTGGTCAATACTTTTTGTCAGAACGTAAGAGGCGGCATTTTACCGCTACGGCAGTTTCAAAACCATGAAGACAGCGTAGAAAGCAACCTAATGATGAGTACATTCGCAGTAAAGTGTTCCCCGTCGTATCATTTGTGCGGAATTCCTAAAAAGAAGTACGCATTTTGCTATATTTGCAAATGCACGCATTCTAATCAATCCGGAGTCCCCAACTCACGTACCCTTCGCCTTTTCATTTTTTGTTATCGGCCATCTGTTCCAGTTTTTCTTTTTGTTTTCTTAGGAACGTAACTTACAATACATTTAGCCACACACTTATTGGTGAACTTCGGTGCCAAATAATTTCTCCGTAAAATAACGAGGGACACAAGGGTGAAAACTATAAACCATATCTCGCTCAAAAGATTGGCAGCCAAGAGGACAATCCTCGACACGAGGCTCTTGACATTGAATGATCGCCTATTTAGCTTGGAAAAAACACTTGGGTCATGGTCTTCAGCAACAGGACTGTCGAGACAGCCCAGATACTACATTCAGCTTTTTCAAGCGCTCTTAGCTAAGTTCGTCGCTTTGAACGATCCCTCTCTCACAGACCGACCTAACCTGGAACATGAAACGATGTTCCCTGGAGCAACAACCATTATCACCACTACTAATTTTGATTTCTTCGTCCCTTTCCCTCTCTTCCTTTTTCTTGAGGGCTCACCTCACCGTTATGCACTCGAAACACAAATCATCGGCCTTTTTTTAGTCAGCTAAGCCAATCAGAAAAGAGCGTGGTTTCTCGCTCTAGTGGTAATGCATGTTTTTTAGTGCTATTAAAGAGGGTGACGCCTGTTTTGCTACTCAGGCTGTAATGACCATTGGGCCGTAATATCGGTCGTCTTTTTCATTGGCTAAGCGGATTAAAGCAGCCCCAGTGATTGATATATCTAAACCAATTTCCGGTGAGTGCGCATGTAGAACCTTCCGAGAGTTCACGAAGTGTAGCAAGCCAGCAAAAGCATCACTGGTGCCACACCGCTCCTCAATAAAGGCATAACAAAACGCACGCATTCAACGGAAGATGTTCCTTTTTGCTGACCTGAAATCCGCAGTGCTCAGACGATGAAAGCAGCCAAGTTTCTGTTCCTGCGGAGAACTGCGGGGAGTCTTTTTGTAGCCTAGGCGTCTGACGTCAGCCTTGTTGCTGTCACCCTATCACGAACCCGTCGGGCTAGCAACAAAAAAATTGCCACGCACTTGTGAACGGTATCATCAAGAGCCATCGAAAGCAGCGCCTAGCGACAAAAAAGAATAAATAAATAAATGAGCGTGTCGGATGCTCGATGATACTAGGGTCTCTTGATACTGTGCACCGTTCATTACGAGTAGCGACCGCTGTATCACGTTTCAGCTTATATCTTGGCAGCGGGCGAAACTCCCACTCTCCGTTCCTATGAGGTACTTCCACCGAAAGAGGGAAGCACGTGACAGCGCCGCATAGATTTGCCTGGTTATGGTGAAAAGAAGAACTGCACTAATGACGAGGCATATTTCGAGGCGAAGAAAAAAATGTTTTCCGGTTTATTCTGCATATCACCGCCTGCCCTGCTTCTTTTCATAGACATTGTACCGTCCTGCCATTTGGAGGAGAAAAGAATGTCGCTATCTGTAAGAATAACAATAAAACATTTTACCTGCATAAGGACGTTTACCGAAACAAGCCCCAATGAGGAAAACAAATTGTTGGGTTTGCTGGGGTGAAAGAGCCTCAATGTCAAATGTCGTATCTGTTTGTGGAACGCACTGTTCGCTCATATATTTTAATCGTGTAGCTATTGCCTGAGTCTAAGGAAACGAATCGATGGTAGCCCGAAGGACTAGCTTCCGGTGAACCGAGGGAGCCTTATCTGCACGTCTCGAGATAAGATGCAAAACCTGCCGACCTTCTCAAAGAAGGCAGACTGAAAACATCGTTCGCAAGGGACACTTGACCTCTTGACCGGCTGCAATAGGAGTTATCAAACGTGAGCTGATTTGTGATCTTGGGAATTTCGGTGCTTGGGTTTGTTGGCTTATGAAGTACACTGCATGCAGTAAAGTCTTGCCCTCGCGTCGTGTAATCAGTGCGTAAATTGTGAAATGCAATGCGTTGAAGTCCAAGTAATGACTGAAGGCGATCATGTCCCATCCTAACGAGTAAGACAGCGAAGGCGTGAAGTGCGAGGTCCTGGCTTTCCGTACACGAGTGGACACGTATTAAGAATGATGTTTGGAGATAAAATGAAGCATTTTGTACGTATTTGTTTTTTCATTTCCTCAGCTCTAGCGATCATTCCATTGATACTGTGTTTCGGTGATTGTTTTTTTTTTTTTGTTTTGTTTTAGCGCTTAGTCAAAACCGGCAAAACTTACTTGCGGCTGTCTTTTTTTAATGAGAAAACAACACCAGGCCGCACGCCAGAACGTTCTGGCGTGCGGCCAGTGGAAGAAATGACTAAGGTGTGTACATTTTTGCCTTTAATTTTTTCAAAATACCAAAATTAGCGTTCTGACTTGGATACGCTGTCCGTATGGCGCCTGATATTGTTATTGGGTGAAGAATTCCAGAGTTGTAAAGGACGAGCGTGTTGTTAAGGGTACTGAATATGAGGAAGGCAGAAAGGGACGGACAACAACGACAAACGACAACTTCCATTTGGAAGTTGTCGTTTGTCGTTGTTGTTCTTGTCTTTGTGTCTTCCTCATATTCAGTTCCAGAGTTTTTGACCATCGTCAAAAACGCGAAAGCGGCGAACACATACGAACACGCCCGTGTTTGCCTTCTGTCTTGTGTTCGTCTTTTTAGCGCTTTTAACCTTGCTTCAGAACCTTCCTCACCAACTAGCCGAACAAGTATAGTTCCAGAGTCTATTCACAGATCTGACGAGTTGCTATTGTTTGTTTGACCTATGTTGTTTATCATTTGATAAAAAAATTCCAAGTGCTTTACTTCGTTTAATTTTAAGCCGAGACATTGTGACAGTACATTATGCATATTTATCTAAGTAGTGCGTAACATAACGTATTTCAAACATCTGAATAACAAGCCAAACATCTTAACAACAATACTTTTGTATATGTCTTGAATTAACGCGCTATTAAATACACGGCCAATTCCTGGTGTTAAAGCTAAAGGTTTAAGAATATCTTAATTTCGTCGTAACGTTGTTTTTAACATTTTGGACTCTTTGCGATGCGCCAGCTTGGCAGTCAATGCATTTGAATTGGCTTCTATTACCGTTCAAACAAAGCAGTGTTTACATATTTAAAACCAGGCATTTATCGTGCTGACATAAGCCCTCAGAATTGAAAACACACCCCAAAAGGCTGCTCATGCAAATACATTATTGATATATAAAATATTGACCAGCTTATTCTAGATCGCGAAATTGATTTCCGTAATATTAAGAAATGCGACCTACTGGGACATTTGCGAAATATGGAGCGATCAAATTATGCTTGACTGCTGTTACAACAGTGTTAATGCAGTTTTTATTATTAATATAACGACAATAACTAAAAAAATAAAACAAGCTTCTTGCAAATGTTCATAAACAAGTTCTTGCAAATGTTGGTAATGTGAATAAAATTAATCTGACCTGAAACACATTTGTCGAGTGGCCACGGAAACTTTTTTTTATGCGTATAGAAATAAAGAAAAGTAAGGGAAAACATGAACTAGTAAATGTTTATCACAAGGATTAGCACCTCGAGACGGAAGTCAACCCGGCATCATGTCGCCTGAGCGCCTTCTTCGTCAAAGTGCATTTAATTGGTTATCCGGGATATGTTCGGAGCATTATGCATGTCCACAATACAAAGGGAACAGCTCATGTTTAATTGACCTGAGGCTGGGGTAGAAGAGCAACATCAAAACATAGATGGGACAGAAAATAGACGAGACGACGTCGTCCTGTCCATTTTTGTTTTTGTCCCTTTCACGTTTTGAAGTTTCTCTTCTACCCCAGTCTCAGATTAATTCAACAGGGTTAATATTCAACAGCTTAGTTGTGCCTCAGACAAGCCACAGTTACTAAATTTTCAATATAGGAGGGTTTGTACGCAGTCAAACAAGCCAGCACCGCGCTTGGCAGTTAGCAACGAGAAAGGGGGAATGTGAGGCAGACGACGCGCCGGCGAGGTGCCCATTGTTGCGCTTCTTTGCCAGTGGAGACGCTGACTATCGTCCGACTGCGGCGCCTTCTAGACATGTGCTCTGGGGCTATGGAGCAGACTTGGGAATTGATCTGTTACAAGTAAAGGATTACTTGTAATCCGTTACTTATTAAGGTAATTTTGTAATTTACACGTTATTCTTTTGCGGCGGTAATTTGTAATGTAATTTCGTTCCAGATATTGGTTAGGGATTACTTTATTACTCGTTACTTTCTTTTAAATAAGAACATAATAAGAAACTGGAGAAATATGAGTCTGCGACCACCCGCTAGACCAAAACCCCAAAACGAGTGCTCGCGTCCATGCATTTTTCAGTAATGCATGCAACTAGAGCCACTAAATAAACCACGCTTCAGAGTAACAGTACTTACCCATCCTGTGGCTTAAAATGCTTGCGAGTTACCTGAAGCTTTATTTGCAATCACATGAAATGCTTTTCCTTCATCTACAACTGTTTGCACAGTTGGCGAAAGAGCAAAGCGAAATTACGTGAGCTTCGTAACACCGAATATAATGCTGAGGAAGTCGCACTTTTGAATTATGACGATCGGCAGTTGCATCCCCTCTTCACAAGCACTAAGATGGCGGCACCCAAAACAATATCGGGAAACAGAGTGCCAATACTCTAAGCGCAGCTCATTTAGTCACTCTACATGCAACTTTACACACAGGCGCCACACACAGAGTCACTCTACATGCAACTTTTGACGCTTTACACACGCGCCAAAATCCAGCCGTCATTGCTGACCTTCTCCTGTCTTACCGAGATACCAAGCCACTGAAGAGGGCTTTGGCGAGCCTCCACAAAGGCAAACGCTGGGGAGAAGGACACGGTCGAATCTGAAATGGCACTAACCTGCCCTGCTGTGGTAGGGATGGAGGCAAGTGATAAAAATAAGAGGTAAACAAAAACTGAATGTCGGTTATGGCGGCGCCCATGCACAGCTGCTGTAAAGCATCTATACACCTTGCATAAATAAGCTGACAGTGCGTCAAAGCTACAGGCACGAGACCGCAGCTTTCAGACGTTGCACTCATTTTTGAAAGGCTCGTTTCGAAAAGGAGCTTTCATTGATCGGTTGCTTACATTCGAACCTCCTGGCGGAGGTAGACGCTGCTACTGATCACGCGCATCGCTCTCTGGTGATTTCAGGGCATCATTTCCGGAGGCCGTAAGCTAGCGGGATGGCAGGTGCGGTTGCAGCTTTCGCTGCCTTATCAGCTTACAGGTTGGACGGAATGCACCTGCACTCTTTCCCTTAAATACAATATTTTATTTCTGCAAGGACTACCGTAATGCGGGCGAAATAGAAAGTAGTGCTCTAGAGCAATTTCGAAAACGTCAAAATTGTTTTCATTGTTTTCTTGCTAAGTGTACGGGAAAAAGTAACGTGAATGTGTTTTGTAACGTAACGAGTAAAGTAATTCGTTACTTCTCAACGAAGGTAATTTTTAAAGGTGATCTATTACATCTGAGGCTCCGTAATTCGTAATTGTAATCCATCACATTTTTCAAGTAACGGACACAAGTCTGCTATACTGAAGGTAGTGGCTTTCCAAATGGCTGTATACCATTTCAGCAAGAATGCCACAAGGCAGCGCTTTTCCAATTCGATTCTAAGCAAGTCTTTGTTCACAAATGGGTGACAGACAATCCCCACTAAACCACGGCTCTATGTAATGTCCCTAAAACGTTTCAGCACCGGGAATTTCCGTCAATCAGCCGGCTAATCTGCGAGCGGCACCAGAAAACTGCTCGTGTCCACGTCGGCTGCCGCACCACCGCCAGCCTCTTGGTAAACCGGAGCGCTCTCCGGTTTTGACGTTACTTAGGTGGGGTGCGGGTCAAGAATAAGGGCGCAGTAAACCGGTAAACATACCAGTGAGAGAGGCACGTTACAGGCCCCATACCAACAAAAAGCCGCCAACCCGGATGTGGCACTGCTAAGTCGGCCAAGTGCTTTCTAAAGTGTGCCAGAAAAGGCGTTCCGAAAGAACAGCGATCATTCGTCTCCGCGAAGAACGGACATGGGGAGAATTCCCATCTG